CTGTATATGTTCCTTTTTTAGTTTTATGTACAATGCCATGAAAGTAGTTTCTCAAAAACTACCACAGGAAAAGTATACACTAAAGCCTATCCTAGATTTTAGATTGAAATGTAAGTTTTTTATATCAGTAAATGAATGCTTCACATTCAACAAAGACCATTTATTCAGTTAACACCATATCTAACCTTTGCTTCTGTGTTTTATGACATCTTGCCAGAAGCCAGTTTTTATTTACTGTCAGAATTTTTATTATTAAAAAGAACATTCATAGCACAAATGTTTAAAAAAATTGGTGTCCTTGTCCTCTTACTGTTTTCCAAAGTTTGCTGCAAAATGTATTATTGTCACAACATTTTGTAACTGACAATAATGTATTTTAATGAGACATAATTGTCATTATCCATTCATAATATGTAAGTTGACTTTCAATTAAAAAAAAAAAAAATCATGTCATTCAGTAACTTTGTTTGGCATTTGTTTGCTCTTCCTCCTTCCTTGTTCATGAATAACATAGGTTTCATAGACATTTGGACGAGTTTTTGGGGCTGACATGACCTGTAGAAAAGAGATGGTCTTCATCCTTCCAGGGGTGGTGCCACTCTTCTCTCTAGAAATATGGCACATAGTCTTAGTAAGTTTGTAAGTACAAACTCTAAGACTATTAGCCAGTCTGTCTGCTTCCTGACCTGGGCCCCAGTTAGTCTAGTAACTTGGTCAGGAAGCAGACAGACTGGCTAAATCGTTCCTGACTTGTCTCAATTCCTCAGCATATCCAATAGCTCAGTAAAACTTGATATTGTAACAGAAACTATTGACTCTCTCTTTTCTAGCACTTTAGATACGGTTGCCCCTTTATGCTTAAAGACGATTAAGGAAAACAGTCAGACACCATGGTATAACGAGCACACTCGCGCCTTAAAGAGAGCCGCCCGGAGAATGGAGCGCAGTTGGAAGAAAACAAAACTAGAGGTATTTCGTATTGCATGGCGGGAAAGTACTTCTACTTATAGAAAAGCTCTAAAAACAGCTAGATCTGCTTACTTTTCGTCTCTCTTAGAAGAGAACAAACACAACCCCAAGCCTTTATTCAATACAGTGGCTAAATTAATGAAAAATAAAGCATCAACAGACACAGACCTTTCCCACCAGGATCGATACTATTAGAGATAAAATTCTAACCATCCAGCCGTCAGCCACAGTATCACATCAAAATCACCTTTATTCACCTTTATTTGTATAGCGCTTTATACAATACTGGTTGTGTCAAAGCAGCTTTACAGAGTCAAACAGGAAAATAGTTTGTCAATGATGCAATAACAGAAAAAGCCATTAGAGAAACCAAGCTCAGTCGGGGGACCAGTTCTCCTCTGGCCAGACGAAACCAGCATGGCGTGGTTTTATTCCAGGCTACAACACAGGCAGAGGGACTCGTCTGGTTCCCGTGGTCTTATGCCGATGGTCGTCGAGGTGATGAGGTCTTCGCAGGGGGTCTTTCTCTGGGACACATCTAGTTGACGTGGTCTCCGCTGACATTCAGGGCTGTAGAGGTCGTCTCTAGGTGCTGATCCACCATCTGATC